TTAGTTTTCTGAAAACGGCGCTGGTTTTTCAAAGATCCTCTGGAAAATCGGACTTACAGAAAATTCTAAAACAAGTTTCTGCTTACAAAAACATGTTTTAAGGTCTTGGCTATTCAGCAGTGAAAACCGCAGGTCGCTAGCTCATCTCTGTGAAAAATTATTAGCAAAACACTCACGACCACCGATAGTAGTCCCCGGTGACTGTTGGTAGCCTTGAAAACAGATGGACTATAGTTAAGACAGAATGCACATCTTCTCTTCAAAACTGCTATTTTTATTCTAAAAAACTCATACAGACTAAAAAAATATACAGAGTTCCGTTCTAAAATCTTGAAAATCGGATCTTCACTTTGTTGTGGTCAGATGACGCCTCCAGACATTGATTTTCGACTTGAACGACACACCATTAGAAAGAGCGCTGCTTAATCTGTCTCCAGTGTAAATAGCTTATTGGCTTAAGGTTTCTAGATGTACCTATGACAGCCAACAAGGCGGAGACGGGAAATCCTTCAGGGCCGAAGTGTTACCCAGTCAATTTGATTCTTACATATTTGGATAAAGCACAGTGAATTACATATAGACAAAGTCATTCGGACCACGACAGGCTCTTCTCATGGCGGCTGAGAGTCAAAAACTCTAAAAAACCGGTTTTCGACCCATTTTTTGTTTCGGTCGTTGTTTCACAGGAAAGCATTTTGATGAACTGTAAATGCGATTTTCGTGATCAGTATTCAATTCTGAGTCAGAAAAAGTGTCATTTTGACAGTTTAGAGAAAAAATATTTTTCGATCAACGTCCCTGAGGGCAGCCTTTGCCCTAACATTTGTTCGCGAATTTGAACGATTTGAGAATACAAAAAAAAGTAAGAAGAATTCATATGAGCCATTTTAAATGTAAATCGTTAAGATCTAGTCAACAAGATTTGAATTATTTCAATCTTTAACAAGAGAGAAGCTAGGCAATCAAAATCTGACAGCTCTTACATTTAGTTAAATTCCTCTGTTACTTTATTTTTTTGTTTTCTAAAAAAAACCAAAATAATAAATTTAAATAAATGTTACCTATACAATTTTTAAATTGTCGTAATTAGAAGAAATAAACAAAATGTATATACAAAAGATGAGATGGGAAGTTCAGTTTAGAAAGAAAAGAAAAAAAAATGAGTTATAGAAACTTTTAACATGAAAAAACCTGATCAAACAATTTCTTTTTTGTTTATTTGTTGTTCTTCTCATTTATAAGTAAAAAGAAAAAAAACAAAAGAAAAAGATCTGACAAAAAGAAAAATGAAGACATCCGAGTCTTATTGTATGCATCATCACTGTATTATAATAATTTTTTCGAAGAGCAAATTTAGTTCAATAAAATATTTCGTTGCTCTTCAATGATGATGACAAATCCACCGGATAAGTCAAAACAATAAAATAACAATAATAAATTTATATGAGAAGTAAAATAAAGGAAGACTTCTTGAATAACAAATGGCACGGTGTGAGAATAAAAACAAATATTTAGGAAAAATTGATTTGACCATTTAATTCAATTGATAAATTAGAATCATTCGAAGATGACGTAAACTCTGTGGTTCTCGAAATTTTAACTGATGATATTGATTCATTATTTTCATTATTTTGCTCAATATTTAATGTATCATCAAGATTTGGGTAATTTGAAGAATAATTACTATTATTTATAGTATCAAGAATATCATCATTTGGACCTTCTTCATCACTTGTATCACTTGAATCAAAATATACGGAACTTGGCCCTATAAAAACAGTTATCTCATAGTTAAAGTTCTTAATTATCATTTAAAAATCAATACATACTTCTTCTTAATGGCGAACTCGTGTAATCATATGTTCGTGTTTCATCCGACTCATTATAATCGGACGTCGTCGTATTTAATCGACGTTTTAATTTTGTTTTATTTCGTGAATTTTGAGATTTATTCATTGTTTGTGATGAAGTAGTATTACGAGAAGCTTGCCTCCGATAAGAATTTGTTGGTGATTGTGACGTTGGTGAACAATCGTTATAATTCCAATCGAGTACATCGATTGTATGAGAATGTTGAAAATGATGATTATCATAGGTTTCTAAAGTAGACGCTGATGATGGTAATATTTTATTGATAGATGATTGTGAATAACGTCGAGATAATGTACCAAAATCGGTTAATATCATTTCTAAATCTTGATTTAATTTTGTTGTATGTTCAAGTGCACGTTCGAGACCTGAAAAAAGAAGAAATATAATAATGATTTAACTAATGGAAATACAAAAGTATACCTTTTTCAGTGGTCATATACGATTGAAGATTATTTTGTAATGCGTCAGCTGCACATTCTAAAATAAATAAATGACTAAGTCAATAAGAAATGTTCATTATCTTAAATTTTTTTTTTTCTTAACAGGACAACACTCAACAACTCAATGCTACTCATTTTTCTATTACATCTAAACTCACGAGTTAGAATCATTTGTGATTGATGTCTATTCATACTTGCTGATTGACAAATAGCTGTATCTGAATCATATTTTCGATTTGTTCCAAATACGTTTTGTGAAGATGGAGGAAATATTTGATCATAATCATCATATGTTGAATTTAATTCATAATCATAATTATCAAGTGTATAATTCATATTATCATTGTTATTACTATTGTTATTCTTTGTTGATAATTTTAATCGACTTCCTGTTGAATTTGATTCAATACCCGAATCACCAATTGAATTTGAATGATAGGATTCTAATAAATCTGATGAGGATATTTCTGACCATGTCATAGGATTTGATGATTTTAATTCATAATGTTGATGACGATTTTTAGATAGTGGAAGACCAAGTAATGGTTCACGATCATTTTCTTGTCCAGTAATTTGATGATGACAATGTTCACAGATAATGGTTTCTTCCTGTTGTTGTTGTTCATGTTTTGATGATTCTACAGGATGATGAGTATTTTCAGATGATGATGTGGTGATTGAATTATGTGTTGCACGATGACGGGGTCGTTTACTATACGAAACAGCAATTTCAGAACGATAAGATTGTTCTTGACCCATCGTCTGTGCCTAAAACGAGATTAAAAAAACGAAATCTTTTAAAAGAGAAATATCAAAAAATATACTCAGACACTTGCCAAAATCCATGCCCGTATTCCCATTCTAGGAAGTATTTTTTCACTCACTATTTAATTATTATTCATACTGATACTTTACAACTATTTATAGTTCTTCAATCTCATCAATTTCAAGCCATTTTTATTCACTATAAAGTACAGTCGAATCAAAATAACTTATCATTACACTTTTTCTTCTTCAGTTGAATAAATTGATTATTCTCGAAACTCATAAACTTCAAATAATAAAACGAGATATAACTGACAGATCTCTATAGGTGACATTTGTGTCTATCACGAACTGACCGCAACTGCACGTAGAAAAAAGAAAAAAAGAATTCATTGTTGCATATAAAATACAGAATTAATTTTCATTTTATGTTGAAGAAATAATAAAAAAGAAAAAAAAGTGAATTCATTTAATGAACAAAAGGGTAAAACATGTTTTCGTTGTTGAACGCGATTCTTTTCCTCTTTACTTACATCACGTTGTTTATTGTTTTTTTGTTCTGGTGTTAAAAAATTTGATATAAGTTTATATAATAGACAACAACCAACACCGATTCCAAATCCGATCAAACAACAAATTGTTTCATTTCGCCGTACTAAAACATGAAAAAAATAATAATAAAGAAAGCCATTATTGTTATTTGAACAATGACGATAACAATATAATCAAAATTTAATACATTCGAAGAGATCAATATGAAAAAAGGGACAAAAAAACGAAACAGAGTTTACACACATATACACACTTTTTGGTATTATAAAACGACGATTAATGTGAACAATGATCATCAGCTTAATTAAGTAGAGTACAGACTACATTGTAGAAATTGGCTATGAAGATGAAAAAAGTGAAAACATGAAAAGTTTCATAACCACTTTCGATTAATCGCTATTTCATTTAAGTTAAAAATTCGCTTTAAATGGATTTCACTTTGCTAGAAGATTATTGAAACTATAATTTCCCATTATAATAAACAATTTTCAGCTTTTCAATTATTATTGCTTAACATTCTTGTTTTTTTTTTCTTCTTCTTCTTCTCACGGATTCTATGAGAAATATAGTTTAAATTGTTGAACAAACTTATTACATGATCAATTATAATATTATGTTCTAAGTGATCCATTTCAGAAGAATTGTTAGTCTATTATATTTGAGTAAGAATGTGAGCTATTTGAGCATATGTAAAACATCTTTATCTAATTATACAACAACTTTCTCTCTCTCTCTATCTCTATCTCTATTGATATACACTTCTGTACGTTTTATTGTTAGTTTAACGCAACAGGAAAAATAAATAATTCACGTTTAGCTTTATTTGACAGTTTTCATTTTCTTGACACTGATAGCGCAATGTCAACACTATACAAATAAATCAATAAGTGATCTCATAAAAAACAAGTACGATGATAATTATCATGATAATATTGATAATACTGTATTCAATCAACATATATATATCTAACACACTGAGATTCATAAAACAAAATAAAAATGTTCTAACACGAATATTTAGAAGAAATAAATGTGATCTAGGCTCTTGAATTTATATGATCAAAATTGTCTAGTAAATAAAACCTTCTTTTGATTTTACATGAATATGCCGCCAGTAAATAGAGAGATCAACGTAATTTCTTTATATTTCTAAATAACGTCTATTCAATGTCATCTAATAACCATTTTACTTTTTAAAAAGAAAGATGTATGATATTATTGTTAAAAGAATGTTCATCATCATTTTGCTGTCAAAACCTAATGTTCTTTTCACATTTCTATTTCTCTGTTGTGTAGACGTCATATTGAACAAAAAAGTTTTTTTTTTTTATTATCAATGTTGTATCGATTTAGTAACACACGTACGTATGATGAGACAAAGAACAAACGTATAGTGCTTTTTCTTTTAAAAAAAAGCGCGACATCAGCTGCAAAACAAATTAACCACCAATTTGTTATAAAGAAAAAATCAGAAGCATCTGTTAATTTTTAAAATGGATATGATCATAGATTCTAATCAAAGAATAGTGTAGATATTAATTGTCAAAACAATAGTTCAAAAGTTTACGAAAAAATTTGTGAACGTGTATATTTGACAAAAGTCTTTACCGATGGTATGCAACTGATACAGTCATCAACTTCTCAAAGCCTCTTTGTCATAGAAGATGGAACGTTGGAAGAGTATATGGCTAATTTAACAATGACTACGCTATTTCAAAGAAAGAAAAAATTGAATAGTGAACGAATTAATAATTAACTTGAAGTTGGACAATGTTGACAGGTCGATATCACATTCATCATTTATGATACAATTCTTCTTTCTTTGGTCAACTATGGCCTTGGTTCATTACTCTTCCTATAGAGACAGAGGTTAACGGCTTCCTGCTTAGAATATCATATCACCAAGTTAGAGGAGAAAATGATGTCAATCAAAGGTCAAATAGACAAAGAGTTGTATACTACTATTTACCTTTAGTCCATGCATTTTTATATATTATAATAAACATTAGTTCCAATGGTTTTAAATAACAATGGAATAATAGGTAAAAAATCGATTTCAACGGTCGTATAATAAATATATTTAGAATAATATATAACAATGATGATATCGTTTTCTCATGTGCTCTGTGCCGCATATATACACACTGCTGTTTTTAAAATATATATCTATCGCGTTTTTAAAGAAAGAGGAAGGATATCAATATAGAGAACAGCGAGAGAGAGAGAGAGAAAAAAACACGTTATATTCTCTCCTCGTTCTTTTTATAACAAAAGATTAGTACATCAGTTAATTATAATCATCTTCTATATGTAAATAGTCTTGCACTTTCACATTATTGTAATAATGAGCAAATGCAGAACAAATCTTTATTCGCGCTTTATTTATTAAAATCAAGTAAGTTAAAATTTCATGACGAATTCGAAGATAGTTTTGTAGCAGATCTGTATAATATAGTCTATATTAAGGTTTGAATGGTCACATCTGTGTTTTTTTTCCTCTCTCTCTTTTCTGTTCTGTTTCGTTGAAGAAAAAATATCGTTTTTTGATGATCATTTTTCGTACATATACTTAGAACTTATATCATCAAATGAAGTTAAAAGTCTTTAGCTCAGTTCTATCAAAACAAGATAACTTCTGCTTATATTTATATTGCGTGTTGATGGATGAAAGTGAGTGTGACGGTCGTAAAATATATGAAATATTTCTTAGTTCAGTATAGCGATTTCATTCTTGAGAAATGATTTTTAATAGGTTTATTAGGTATTTTTTCATTATCAAGTAGATGATAAATTGTTTTAATAGCTAAATAAACGTTCCTACACACTTAGAAAACGCTTATATTCATCTCACGATACACACGTCTGATTGACCTTTTATATATTATACACGTTTTTTCATCCATTTCTTATTTCCAATATATATATATATGAACGAGGTAGAAAATAAACAAGCATTGATTAACAAAAATAATATTTATCATATACATTTTAGATCCAAGCTGCTGATATTATAAATGCTCAGCAAGACTCACTCCCATCTATTTATTCAAATTCTTTTCTTCTTTCTTATATAAGATTGATTTACATATTGGATTTAGAAACAAAAGGCCATATGAATACATATGAACCTGGCTCCTATTACATTTAAGCTCATTTGTATGTAACTCCATCCAGATATCGTTCTATACAAGGTGCATGCAGTTATTTCTGTCAAAAATTTTTTTACTGTATATACTACGTCTATTGTAAAATAATAATAATAATAATAATAATAATAATTGTTATAACAAGAATAAAATTGTGATACATATAGACCATAAACAATTGTTCAAATAGCTCCAAGGTATGTATATACAGTTGAAAAGGACAAATATGTCTGTCTGTGAAAAAAATTATGTACATCTAAAGGTTTTGTTCTTATTTTTTTTTTTACTACTACCACCAATAGATATATGTATTACATAATAAAACACAAACAGCCTAAGGGAATAATCGATTCCAATATAGATTTGTTGACAATATAGAGTTATGCATTCACAAAAAGGATTTATTCCTTTTGGCTTGAGAAAAATTCTTGATTGTTTAATTTTAAGATTTTCAATTGGCTTATTCCTTAAATAATACGAACAAGGGCGTATCCCAGGTAGTCCTCCTGAAAATGAGCTCAGATGTAGCTAGTTTTGTTTAGTTTTTTATGTTGATGAAGCATTTGAACACATTAGATGTGAACATTAATATCTTGAAATGTTACGATTTTAAACTTTGATCACCATATGCAATCTAGTTTCGATGCTCCCTACTTTGGTTAGGTTCATAAATGCGGACAGAATGATTCAATAGAGGTACAATAATGTTTTTGAAAGAGTGCTACTCACTGTAGACACAGTGCTGTATTATTTACGTTTGGATTGTGTATTTCTATCGTTCGTGAAATATATTTTATACCAAAACCCTGCACTAAAGATACACTGCCATATCAATGTTGATATATAAAAAAACAAGTAGTCCTTTTCACTTAAATCTGGAACTGCTTCAAGCATAGTCTTTTACGTCTTCATCGCTTATTTAAGAGTGAAGATCAACCAATGAATGAAGTCTTCCACTACGAGCGTATTTTATAAACCTCGATATGCACAGTGGGCATTTGGTCGAAAATCGAACGTGAGCTTTTCTTTGATTTAAATAGTATCAAATATATAGCGTTAAATGTGCTATCGAATGACGTAAACATTTTTATTCTGTGACTTTTCCTGATAGAATTATTCAAGAAAGAAAACACGGTGATATAAGGAAAACGCTAGGAAAACAGACATGTAATGTTGTAAATGTGTAATGTACAGATTATACAGAATTTTTTTCGAATTTGACTTTTCTTAACTTACTTCTATTAAAATTGGACACATAATAAGACAATATTATGTGAAAATAATCATTTTTAACTCATAAAACCAGATGTCCGCTTGCTCTATGGAAAAATGTTCACTGTGATATGGCAGTGTATGTATCGTAAATACGGACTTTGATATGAGTATATTTCACGAACGATAGAGATATACGACCGAAACCTAAATAACACAGCACTGTGTGTACAGTGCTGTGGTCCGCAATATAGGCCACAACAACGAGCTTTAGTGCAAAATTAGAAAAAAAAGTGAAGAAAATCAGCAAGGAAGCGGAGAGAAGTTGTTTAAAGAGGAGTCGTGAGGCTTATTATAACTTTAAGAGTTGATCTCCAGTTTTCTTTTTCATATTTAATTTAATTTTTATAGAACTAAGAAAGTCTCATCATGATCACTGAAAAATCATTGTTTGAAAATCGATGTTTCAGAAATCTATTCGAATATATATAATACACTATGGAAACTGTTTTAATTTCAAATGACAGCTGAAAAGTCCGTTTAGGTTAGAAATATAGGTTCAGTTTTTATTTATTTATTGACTAAATGATTATATTTTGACCATATTATCAAGTTGTGAGATAATTCTGAACTGTTTGTAGATATTTCAATAAGTAAAAAGAGTCATTAAATTTCTCATATGAATAACAAACACTACTTTCTCATACGATTAAAATGTTTATATGAATCCCTGTTTAAAAACCGACGGAAAAAACTATCATCAAGAAGATTATATTGCTGAACATTTTTCAATCAAGAAATCAATTTCGTTTACCAGTAAGAACTCATACTCTTGTCAATTCCTCCACAATATAGACCACAAAAAGCTTTAGAGGAAGAAAATGGAGATTACCCAAAGCAATTGCAAGTATTTAGCTTAAATCACTAATCTTAACTTCTTTATCAACGTAATTGTTGTCTTAAATCAGTAGGACTCAATGGTCTAGCAGGAATTTTAAAAAACTATTCTATTACTTTTAAAAACTGATTATACATATGTACAATATTTCGGATTGATAAGATCCTACTATCCATTTTCAAGAAGATACTTAACATTTTTAAATCGACTGATTGACATGAAAAAAGACTCACTGCTGTACATCCGAAAAAACTTTCTATTTCGCTTTTTTTCCTTTAGTCAACCAGACATTCTCTATTTGTATATGATTATATAGATTTCGGAAAACAATGATTCAACTTTTTAACAGTTGTGGATGAATGATCGCAAGTTATTTTTAACTATGTACCCAATTAACCTATGAATAGTCTCGAAAGAAAAGCATATTTTCATAGACGTTTTTAGAAGAGAGATAAATAATAGTCACACAATATTCACTAGTTCATATAGTACAAATGTATATTCTTAGATAGATAATTAATTACTAATGTCATTCACATATAATGTACAGAATACAAATAAATAATCATAATTGATTTGTTTGTAACATTATCACATTTTATATTCTCTGTGTCAAATGAAAATAGAGTTTGAACATTTTCTCAAAGTTTTATTGAGTGTTTTAAATTCCTTTGGTTGTTTTTTCATTCAGTTGATTTTTCAATTTTTACACAGCATAGTTGACCTTTAGTTCATTTCATGATTAAGAGATGTGCGACCATTTTCTATCATAGGATTCCCTCTTTAACTGTTAAATTCTAATTTATTATTTAAATTAAATGTAAAATGTTCATATTATATTCATATTATAACAAGTTTCTGCAATTTTTATTTTTAAATGTATATTGACTTCTTTATTGCATCACTATTTAATTTGATGTATTGGTTTTTTTTCACATTGAAATGGTAGAAAGAAAAACAAGTTTATTAAGTATACATAATATATTTGGCAGATATCGTTGAAAATGATGAACAAAACCGTGTCAGACAATGAAAGCACACATTCATCTACTATTTAAATGTTTATCTTCTTTTCAAGTTGAACTCAATTTGTATATATACATAAATTATGAACACAGTTTGACATAGAACAGAAGAACTATAACAATGTTGAAATGTTGCTACAAGACGGTTACGTCTTCTTAATATTAAACTTTATGTATTATGTAGCTTAACGGACAAGAAAATACAAACGTTTATCGAAGATCCGAAACCGTGAGAGAAATTCAATGTAACTAATATCATGCTAACTGAGTTCTACTGATACTAAATAACATCAAGTTCTTTATAGTACTTGAGTGCTTCTAATCGACAGATGAAGTGAACGATGAATCTAATTTTTCTTTCATAATTTATAAAATTCATGCTACTAAAATATTTTTACGTATAATAGTAAAAACTTTATTAAAATCTCGTGAGTTTACGTTGCTTTTAAAAATACTTATACAATATCTATTGTAAAAAAAAGCGTGTCCTCGTAAGACGGCACATTTTTATGCGATGGAGTGGATACAAGTTTTTGGTACGAGATATCTTTTAGGTATCTTTAGGCATCCTACAATGTGCACATTGGATGTGCCTGACATCTATCTAGTTGATATACAAATTAACTCGGACGCTAACATGTAGAATGATAAGAGACTTCAAGCACTGTATGGTGTACAGCTGCTACCAAAGATCTATATAATC